ACCCTTCACACATGCAGAAATACTTTTCTTAAAATCGAAGTAGTTTTTGGATGAAGCACTTGGGGTTTTCTCCTGATCAGTATCAGCTGGTGAAGAAAAGTCCCCATCACTGCCCACGTGTCATCTGCCAACAGCAGTGTTACCCCCTCCTCTGGGGTGTGTAGTGAGGAAAGCAGGAAATCAGAGCCTCAGAGAAAGAGTAGGAGCCATCCCTGGAGACAGCTGAGAGCTTGAGAGGAAAATCCCTGGGCCAAACAGGAAGGGCCCTTCGCTCCCCACTTCCCTCTGCCCCCTGTTCCTGGGGCTGCTCTCTGTGCTGAGGGTCCTGAGCGCCCCCTGGTGTCCTGGACGCTCCCTGCAGCCCAGCCCTGTTGTCTCCTCAGGGAGGTTTGTGTCTGGGCTCACACTGACTTCCCCTCACTGTGTCTCTTGCACAGTAATACATGGCTGTGTCATCAGCTCTCAGGCTGTTCATTTGTAGATACAGCGAGTTCTTGGCATTGTCTCTGTAGATGGTGAAGCTGCCCTTCACAGAGTTGGAGTAGTATTTGCTACCACCACCACTATTAACGTATGCGACCCACTCCAGTCCGGTCCCTGGAGCCTGGCGGAGCCAGTTCATTTCATAGCTACTGATGCTGAATCCAGTGGCTGCACAGGAGAGTCTCAGAGACCCCCCAGGCGGCACCAGGCCTCCCCCAGACTCCACCAGCTGCTCCTCACACTGGACTCCTGCAAACACAGAGACACAAGGTGGACTGAGAATCACATGGAAGCACCAACAGGCACAGGCACAGGTCTCAGCGCTCCCCACTCCTGAGAACGACCTTGAGAAATGATCAGGAGGAAAACGCAGCTTGGCACCAAGTCCATAGTGGAGCCGCTGGGGTCCTGTCTCAGGTGCTTGGGTTCTGGGTGTCTCCCCAACATGCCGGGCAAGGGCCCCTTTTTATGAGCAGGACGAGAGCCCCATTTGCATGGAGTCTGCATATAAGGTGCAGCTGGGACCCTGGGCTGCATGCCTGACCTTGTCATCCTAGGGGCGACCCCAGATGGGAAAGGACTCAAGGATGCTGGCCACAAGGGGTCCCGTCCTAACCCCCCTCCCTCCCTCCTTTCCTGAGACCCATCACCCTGACCCCATTCCTTTGTGCGCAGCTTCCAGGATTGAGAGTCCTCCTTCCTCGGGGTTTTGATGAGGACCCAGGGGTGCTCCCCCAGAGGCATATGGATGGGGCTTCCTCTCACTCTCCTTCACCCGCTGTGGGCCATGTTGCCTTTTTGGGGTTTAGGAATAAGAATGTGAATTGAATGATGCTTTTATTTTGAAGCTGAAAGATTCCCCTTGTTATTTTCCTCAATCAGATCCTCCACAAAACTTGAACCTCTACAGGTAAGGGGGAAGGAGAGGCTGGGCTGGATGCTGTGGCCACAGCCCCCGTCTCTAATCTGCTGCCATTCTCACAAGCACACATCTGCCTCCTGAAAGCACAGATTTCACTCAGCTTCCTGCTGTTCATGTGCAAAAGCCCTATTTCCAAGCCTCTCAAAGTGGGAGTATTTCCATCATTTACAAATGGAGCCCTGGCTGATGGGCCTCAGTGGTTGGAGCGTCATCCCCACAACAAAGGGTGTGAACTCTTTAGAGTCACCTCCTCCACCACCATGTGGAGGTTGTTGGGTTTTTTTTTTCTTTTTAATATATTTTATTGGTTCTTTTACTGAGATGAAGGGAAAGGGATAGAGAGTTAGAAACAACGATGAGAGAGAAACATCGATCAGCTGCCTCCTGCACACTCCCCACAGGCTATGTGCCCACAACCAGGGTACATGCCCTTGACCAGAATTGAACCTGGGACCCTTGAGTCCACAGGCCGATGCTCTATCCACTGAGCCAAACCAGTTAGGACTGAGTTAATAGATTTAATAAGTGTGTCCACCTCCCTCTCCACATGGGGAAGAAATCTGGATGAACATATGTGGTAAATGAAGTAAAGACAACACGTTGATGTAAGAAGTGTCCAAACATGGAGAGAATGTTTTATAAGATTTTATTCCAGCCAAAGAGTTGACAACTCTTGAGGGAGCAAGACCTCAAATGCTTTGGAGAATAATCGTTTGTAGCTGTGTCTGTGCATTTGAAGTTAAGGAGGGAAAGTGAGGAGTGACACGGAGGGGGGAGAGAGCAAGGCTGGGACTGGATGCTGGGATTGTGAACAGGAGGTTCTCTCTCTCTCTCTCTCTCTCTCTCTCTCTCCCTCTCTCTTCTAATCTTTATTGTTGAAAGTATTGCATAGGACATCCTTTTCTCCCCATTATCCTCACTGCTCACTCCCATTCCCTCCACAGGCCCTCAGCACCCCATTCTCTGCGTCCATTGATTAAGTATATATGCAGAGAAGTTCATTGGTTGATCTCTTCCCACCAACCCTCCCCTGCCTTCCCACTGAGGTTCCATGGTCTGTTCATGCTTCTATGTCTCTGGGTCTATTTTTGTTCATCAGCTTATTTGGTCCATTAGCAAGGTAAACTGGTGCAGTCGTTATGAAAACCAGTATAGAGTTTCCACCTAAAAATTAAAAATGGAGCTCCTATTTGACACAGTGATTCCACTTCCCAGCCCAAGACCAAGTCCAGGCTGGGCCATATGGTCTACGCCCTTCCCCGTCTCTCTCAGACCACTGCTCCAGACCAAGTCCGGGCCAGGACATCTTGTTGACCCCCACCTCAGGCTCTCTCTCTCTCGGACCCCTGACCAAGACCAAGTCCGGGCCTGGACATCTGGTCGAATGCAGCCACTATGCAACCATCTCTGGCGGCTGCCCATTTTGCGGAGTCTGGTCGACTGCGGTTTTCGGGGTGGGGGGAGAAAATGGGGAGGGATCCGGCCCTCGGTCCCTCTGGGAAAGGGACCGCGTCCTCCGCCTTTCACCCCTGCTTTCCCGTTCTAGCCGGAGGTCCGAAGGCCCCAGCGGGGTTAGTGGATAGGACCTGCAGCAGGTCTGGGGCTCCTGGAGAACGGGCTGAAGTCAGTCCCAGATGCATGTTTTCCTCCTGACCCTTCTCTCAGGATGAGCCTCCTCCATCTTATCCCCGGGGGTCCTACCCGCCCTTCGCCTTCTGCAGCCTTTCCTCGGCCTCCAGGGCGGTTTCCATCTCCATCTTCTCCTCCTGCGTCTGAGTGACCCCTGCGCCCGAGTTCGTTTCCAAAACTTCGGATGAGCCCTTGGGAGGCGCTTATGATTCCTGCTCTGCTCTTGGACGGAACCATGTCCTTTGGGTTCCACACTGTGCCGCCCCCAGCGGCTCCCACAGGACACCTTCCAGGGACCCCCAGGGGACAGCGTGCGGCCTCCAGCCCGTGCCATGCTGCACTCTTAGCCCTTCCAGTAGCTCTGGGGGACCCCAGGGACCGCCCGGAGACAACATGCTCCTGAAGCAGCCAGGTCCCCTGGGGGAAACCCACCCAAACACGGTCCCACCATCTCCAAACGCCCTCGGTGCTGAGGCAGACTCTGAGCAATCACTGCGCTCACACACCTTCCACAGCGCATGCGGCCTCTCTGCCACATTCTCACAGGGTTTCTGTTCTGCTCTTTCGCCTCCATGGAGGCCCCGCTTCTGAAGCCACCATCGCTGCCCTCTGGGAGCAGTGCGACCCGGGTCATGGGATCCGCAGTCACCAGGTCCTAGCAAACATCAAAGCCTCCAAAGCACTGAGACTCCTGAGGCGCGGCCTCCTCTCCCTCACCGCCAGGCTGGTGTCCAGCAGCAGCGGCCAGAGGCGGAGGGTGCAGGGGTCCAGGCCACCATGTCCCCCAGGTCCAGTAGCACCAGCTGGGCCAGCCCTGGGCATGCGCACTCAGGACCTGGGCGCTGGAGCTTTTCCTGCAGCTCCGCCTCCTCTTGCTCAGTGCCCTTCTCTGCTGCTGATAACTGGGCCTGACAGTCGCCTGGAGGGAGAACTGAGGTCTCTTGAAGCGCTTGGTCCTGCTCTGGCCCTGCTCTGGCCCATGGCAATGTGAGGACTGAGAGGGGACAGCAGGACCGAGGTGGTGGCTGCTGCCCAGCTGGTGGCAGGACCTTGGGGGAGGAGATGGTTCATGAGGCAGCTCACCTGGGCCTGGGACTGCAGGGGCCATAGGGAAGGCAGTGCGCAGGCGTGAGGGAGGAGGCTATAGTTTTTTTGGTAGAAGTTACGGTGAGATTGAAACCACACAAGTCCCTGGAAGCAGAATTCCTCCCCCTCCCCAACCACCTCGCCAAAATAGAAGCCCTGCGCCCCTCTCCTTTCCAGTCTCCATCCAAGCAGGTCTGACTTGCTGAGTGATCTTTCCTGTGCTTCTCAGGGGTTTCAATCAGGAGCATAATAACCATCCCACATCCCCTTGGTGTGTGTGTGTCATGAACATCTGTACCAGCTGCTGTGCCTCTGCTTCTGCATGGTGTCACTCCTCTGGGTGCTGTGAGCATGAGGACAAGCACCAGGACTGTTAGCCTGGTCTCTGGGGCTTCTCCTAGAAGGAGTGCTGACTGTGCCCTCAGAGAACCATTCCCTCCTTTGGGTCCTGGTCACCGTACCCAGGGAACCCTTCCTTCACAGCAGGGGCTACGCTGTAGGAGGTGGTCAGGAAGTAGGATGTGGGAACAATTAGTGACTCCTTAGGGATAAAATCAATGTGCCTCTGATCCCATGGATATAGATAGATATGGATATAGATATAGATATAGATAGATATTGATTTAGATATTGTTTTATATATATATGTGAACTATAGATGTATTTGTAGATATAGATATAATTATAGCTATAGAGATTGTTTACTTTATCCTTACTTGAGCATATTTTCATTGATTTTTAGAGAGATGTATAAAAGAGAGAGAGAGAGCGAGAGAGAGAGAGAGAGAGAAGTAATATAGAAATATTGAGCAGGGAAATGTGGTGAGAAAGGGAGGAACATTGATGGTGGGGAACATATTTTTCATTTGCCTCCCATATCTGCCAAGACATAGAATCAAACCCACAACCTTGTTATTTATTTGTTTTAATATATATTTTATACATTTCAGAGAGGAAGGGAGAGGGAGAGACAGATAGAAATATTAATGATGAAAGAGAATTATTGATCGGCTGCCTCCTGTATGGTCACGACTGGGAATCAAGCCCACAACCTAAGTATGTGCCCTGACCAGGAATGGAATCATAGGTCAAAGCTCAAGAACTTGCCACACAAGCATGGCTTCTTTCAGTTTTGAAATAAATTTTTAGTTAGTTTAGAATTCAACCTTGATGGTTACTCAATTTTCCTTCAGCACTTAAAGTCCTCATTTGTTGCAGGAGGTTCATGTTTAGGAGACCAGAAGTCCCATCTGACAAGGTTTCCCTTACAAAGTAATCAGAGGATAAACTAAGACCAGAGGGTGAGCCTAGAGCCAATGGACCAAGTGTTGGGGAGAGTGGAGTGTCTGTGAGGGTCCCTGGGAACCAGAAGCATGAACTAGAGAGACACAGACAGAGCTCCTTCCAGGGTCCTATTCCTTCAGGGCAGTTTTGTGCTGGATGTGTAGAAGCTGCACAGCCTCCTTTGTGCTGTTTATTCTCTAGACTCTATTGTGGATCCAGTTTCATGCCCTGGGACATAAAATAACCTCAGTCATGATCAGGTGTGTGGGGGAAGATGTTGGAAATGATTTAGGAATTATTAAGTTTAGGTTATGAAAATCTTGTTATTGGAAGCCCGATGTCTGCATGTGACCCTTTGACCACTGTCCCCACATGATGGGGTTCAACTTGAACCTGCACCTGACCCAGTGCCACATTGGGGGTAGAGCTACCTGGGAACATGATGGAGATTAACCAAGACTGAGGACACACACATCTAGGGCTCTTGTTTCATTAGGTTATCATCTCCTAGTTGTATACTGTTCAAGTTTTCTTCCGTCACTTTCCTCTGAAACAGCCCACATGTTTCCTAGAGCCATGAAGACACTCTGTTGAGAGGTGCAGGGGCACAAGCCATTTGTGTGTTGGTTTTGTATCTTACAACTTTCCTGAATTCTAGTTCTATTAGCTTCTCATACATTTTTTAAGGTTTTCTATGTACAAGATCCTGTCATCTGCTTACAGATAAGGAGAAACATTTTAACTGGTTTCTTTCTGATTTAGATATTTTAAATTTCCTTTTCTTGCCTAATTATTCTGAGAAGAACTTCTAGTTTTAACGAATAGAAGTAGTCACAGGGAAGCCATTGTCTTGGTCCTGATGTAGGAAGAAAAGCTTTGAAATTTTCTCTGTGTAGCATGATGTCACTTGTTGGCTTTTCAAACATGACCTTTAGTATATTGAGGTCCATCTCTTCTACACCTAATCTGCTAAGAATTTTAATTCTGAAGCATTTTTCAATTTTAAAGGTTTTATTCTATATCTATTTATATGAGGGTATACTTTATCCTTCATCCTGTGGATGAGATGTAGCACAGTTACTGATTTACATATGTTGATGCATCCTTGGATGGTAGGATGGTATCTCACTTGATCGTGGTAAATGATCCTTTCAGTGTGCAGATTAGTTTCCCGGGCATATTTTTGAGGGATTTTGCATGTAATTTCATCAGGGAAATTGACCTGTCATTTTTGTTTGTTTCTACTTGACTTTGAGATGAGTGTAATGGTCACCTCAAGAACTCTGTTTGGAAGTGCTGTCTCTTTCCTTAATTCTTGGAAGAGTGAAGAAGAGTTGATTAGAAAGTTATCATGTCCTATTTGAAATTCTGGTAGAATTCACCCTTGAGTCCATTTGGTCCTTGACTTTTATTTGGAAGATTTCCACTATTACTTCAATTATATTTTAAAATTTGTAGCAATCTAGCAAAGTTTGGATTAAATTCCTAATTTGAGCTCCTACTAAGTGGACTGAGAAATACAACTGTTGATCTTCACAAGTTGTGGTCAGTGTTGAAATGATAACTTCTATCAGACCACACATTTATTTCATATGGCATGCAAGAAAACAAAATCTAACCCCATTTTTTATTTTAAAAATCTTAAAAAGAAATATTTCTTTATTGATTTCAGAGAAGAAGGGAGAGGGAGGGAGAGATAGAAACATCAAGGATGAGAGAGAATCATTATTTGGCTGCCTCCTGCACTTCACCCACTGGGGTATGTGCCCTTGACCGGAATCAAACACAGGAGCCTTCAGTCTGCAGGCCGACACTCTATCCACTCAGGCAAATGGGCTAGAGATAACCCCATTTTCTTATATAGAATTCTTAAAGTACAGTGTATAAGGACACCAACAGTTTTGTATCACTGCTCATGTGTGAATGCATGTCTTTTCCAGAAACGAGTGTGTAACTGTGTTTGTGTGACTCTGTGTGTAACTGTGTGTGTAACTGTGTGTGTAACTGTGTGTGTGTGTGACTGTGTGTGTGTGACAATGTATCTGTGTGACTGTGTTTCCTGTGCAAGTAGTAAGAGGACGATATGGACGCAGGGGGTCCCATGGATGCTCCTCGGTTTCCAACCTGCTCCTGATGCAGATCTCACCCAGAGTGAAGCTGGAAATCCTTGGCTCCAGGAGGAAAGGTGGAGGAGGAGTTTGGTGATGCACATCCCAGCCTCAGGGTCACCTGTCCCCGCTGTGGGGTTAGCACTGCTTCCTGGTGGACAGCAGGGTCCCCGTGTGGATGGATGTGGGGCTCCCTGTGCTTGGTGCACTGAGCTCACAGCTCTTCTGGGGGTCAATGTGGACCCAGAGAGGATGGGTGAGGTCCACCAGCCCTGAGTGAGCTCAGGCCTTTCAGCAGAGGGAGGGCCCTGCGATCTCTCTGGAACCAGGAGGGGAAGGGCACATGGAGAGTCAGACACTGAGGGAGCTGTGACCCCCTAATCCCCTAGGGAGGGATTCAGAGCTGTGCACACAGCCAGATCCCAGTAACCCACCCGTGGAGCTCACACTCATCATAGAAAAGTTGAAAAGAGAGTAAAAAAAGCCACTTTTAGAATTTGTGAAGGAGAGTCCCCGTCACTGCTGACTTGTCACCTGCAAACACAATGTCCCTTCTTCACTGTTGTCTGCAGGGAGAATATGAGAAGGAAGAGCCATCCCTGGAGGCAGCTGAGAGCCTGAGAGGAAATCCCTGAGCCCAACAGGAAGGCCCTTCCCTCCCTACCTCCCTCTGGCCCTGCTCCTGGGGCTGCTCTCTGTGTTGTGGATCCTGAGCGCCCCCTGCTGTCTGGGACGCCCCCTGCAGCCCAGCCCTGCTGTCTCCTCAGGGAGGTTTGTGTCTGGGCTCACACTGACTTCCCTCACTGTGTCTCGCACAGTAATACACGGCCGTGTCCTCGGTGGTCACGGAGCTCAGCTGCAGGGAGAACTGGTTCTTGGCCGTGTCAGCAGTGATGGAGATGCGGCCCTGGAAGGCTGGGTTGTAGCTTGTGCCCCCTGACCAGTACCCCATCCACTGCAACCCTTTCCCTGGCGGCTGGCGGATCCAGTTCCTGTAGTAACTACTGGTGACTGAGCCCCCGGACACAGTGCAGGTGAGGGAGAGGGTCTGAGAGGGCTTCACCAGTCCTGGGCCTGACTCCTGCAGCTGCACCTGGGACAGGACACCTGGGACAGAGAGAACACAGTGAGTCCTGGGCTCAGATGCAGGGTCCCCATCTCCTCATGTCTAAGCCCTGAGTCACTCACATCTGGGAGCTGACAGCAGGAAGAGGAAGAGCCACATGGGAGTCATGTCTTGCAGGTGAGATCCTGGTCCCCCAGAAAGTATTTTCCAGGATGAGGTGGCCCTGAATTTAAGTGGACGCCAACTGTGTCTGTGTCTGGTGGCCGTGTGGGCATTTGCATATGGGAGGTGTCTGCACATACAAAGGGCAAGAGTTGAGGTAGGTCCTGGACTCTGGGGCTTCTCCTGGAAGGAGGTGCTGACTGTGCCCTCAGAGAATCAGGCCCTCCTTGGGGTCCTGGTCACCGTGCCCAGGGACCTCTCCTTCCACTCCAGGGCCTGTGCTGCAGGAGGGGGTCAGGAAGTAGGATGTGGGCACAATCAGTGACTCCTTAGGAATAACATCAATATAGATATAGATGATATAGATATAGATATAGATATAGATATAGATATAGATATAGATATAGATATAGATATAGATATAGATAGATATGAAGATAGAGATGTAGAGGTAGATGTAGTTGTATTGATAGATATACATATAGGCATATATATATAGTTTACTTTTCTCTCACCAGAGGATGTGTTCATTGATTGTTGAGGGTAAGGAAAGGAGAAAGAGAGGAGAGAAACAACAATGTGAGAGAGACATGTTGATCAGTTCCCTCCCATATGCGCCCACATTGTGAATCAAACCTGCATCAATTTTATTATTTATTTATGTATGTATTTAAATATTTTTAATTGATATCACAGAAGACGAGAGAGGGAAATAGAGACAGAGCAATAAATGATAAGAGAGAACCATTGATTGGCTGTGTTCTGCACACTCAAACTGAGGATGTTGCACAAAACCTAGGTATGTGCCCTGACTGGGAATTGAACCATGACCTCCTGGTTCTTATGTTGATGCTCAACCACTGAGCCATGCTGGCCAGGCTGTCCCTGCACTTTCAGGGTTCACAGAGCTCCCTGTGTACCTGGGCTCTGGTGGGCAGAACGTTGGCAACATTATAGGTGACCAGGCCCCAGCCCTTCCATGGCTGCCCTCTGACCCCAGTGGCCGTGGGCTTGTCCACCAAGATGCTCTGCAGCTCACAGGTCCCTGGAGGTTCCCTCAGCTCTGGTGTGAGCTGTTCGAGGTGCTCTGAGGTCAGTGCTCAGCTGTGTCCCCACCTGACACAGGAGGGGCCCCCAGGACCTGACATCACATGCGGGCACTGCAAGTGGGCTCAGCAGAGCGGCTGAGTAGCCCTGGCCCTGGCATCTCATGGAGTGCCTGGCACAAGACATGGTCATGAGGAGATGGCGTGGGGGGCATTTAAGGCAAAACCTACCAGGGCGGGAAGGAGAGGGCACACACCTCCACCTTGGACATCCTGTGCTGTCTCCATGGGGTAAGAGTGTGGGCGGCAGAGGACAGAGGGTGAAGATGGGGTGGTGTCTGTGGAGCTGGAGGCACAGCAGAGGTGGGTGGGACCATGTCTCCCTTCAGCAGGTTCTCGGGATGCAGGTGGTTCCCCAGGGGAAGCCGGTCTGGTGTTGGGGCACGTCCCCTGGGACCAGGTTCTGAGACCCAGGGGGAGCAGCACCCAGCAGGGTGTCCAGCCTCCATCTGGGGCACAGGGACAGGTAGGCACTTCCAGGATCTCTGAGGGGTGGTGCCACAGGGTCCGACCCTACACCTCCATGTGCAGCCATGTCAGTGAGAGGCAAGCAGCTAACTGCCCCCAAAGGGCTCCTCCTGGGGCAGAGCTAGGGGCTGATAACACTCAGGTGAGGTTATCACCTGGACTCCGTGTTCCCCTCCTAGCACTGTGTCGAGAGTAGTGGACTTAGGTCTCAGTGAGGGGACCAGAATCCCTACAATGTTTGCCTTGTCAACCCAGAGAGCAACCATCAGGGACTTGTTGACAGGAAGGACCCAGATGAGAAGTCAACCAGATCTGAAACACAGCCACTTCCTGCTTTTTTTCCTGCAGAGAATCTAATTAAAGACACAAAGAAGGAAGCAGGAAGGGCCCCAGGGACACTAGGAGGGAAGAAAGCATTCACCCCAATAGGAAGCCTGCACATCCCTCTGGGGAAAGCCTCAGAGCTGGGACCTGGGTTTGCTGGTCCTGAGCGCCCCCTGGGGTCCTTAACGCTCCCTTCAGCCCAGCCCTGCTGTCTCCTCAGGGAGGTTAGTGTCTGGGCTCACACTGACTTCCCCTCACTGTGTCTCTCGCACAGTAATACACGGCAGAGTCCTCGGCTCTCAGGCTGTTCATTTGCAGATACAGCGAGTTCTTGGCGTTATCTCTGGAGATGGTGAAGCGGCCCTTCACAGCATCGGCGTAGTATGTGTAACCACCAGTATTAATGCGTGAGACCCACTCCAACCCCTTCCCTGGAGCCTGGCGGACCCAGCTCATGTAGTAGCTACTGAAGGTGAATCCAGAGGCTGCACAGGAGAGTCTCAGAGACCCCCCAGGCTGCACCAGGCCTCCCCCAGACTCCACCAGCTGCTCCTCACACTGGACTCCTGCAAACACAGAGACACAAGGTGGACTGAGAATCACATGGAAGCACCAACAGGCACAGGCACAGGTCTCAGCGCTCCCCACTCCTGAGAACGACCTTGAGAAATGATCAGGAGGAAAACGCAGCTTGGCACCAAGTCCATGGTGGAGCCGCTGGGGTCCTGTCTCAGGTGCTTGGGCTCTGGGTGTCTCCCCAACATGCTGGGCAAGGGCTCCCTTTTTATGAGCAGGAGGAGAGCCCCATTTGCATGGAGTCTGCATATAAGGTGCAGCTTGGACCCTGGGCTGCATGCCTGACCTTGTCATCCTAGGGGCGACCCCAGATGGAAGGACTCAAGGACACTGGCCACAAGGGTCCTGGTCTGGACCCCACCTCCCTCCCTCTTCCTGAGACCAATCTACCCTGACCCCATTTCTTTGGAGGCAGTTTCCAGGATGAGAGTCTCTACTGGGGTTTTGATGAGGACCCAGGGTGCTTCCCCAGAGGCACGTGGATGGAGCTACCTCTCTCTCTCTTTCACGCTTGGGCCATGTCGCCTTTCTGAATTTGGGAATAAGAATGTGAATTGGATTACGCTTTTATTTTGAAGCTGAAAGATTCTCCTGTTATTTTTCTCAATCAGATCCTCCACAAAACTCAAACCTCTACATGTGAGGAGGCAGGAGAGGTTCGGCTGAACACCTTGGCCGCAGCCTCTGTCTCAAACCTGCTGCCACTTTCACAAGCACAAAGCTGTCTCCTGAAACCACACGTTTCCCTTAACTTCCCTGCTGTTCCTGTGTAAAAGTCCTATTCCCAGCCTCTCAAAGTGGGAGAATTTCCATCATTTAATAATGGATTCTTGATGGGTGGTGGGGGCTGGCTGGCTTGGGTCAATGGAGGGAAAAAAGGACATATGTGATACTTTCAACAATAAAAAATTATTAAATATAAATAATTAAATAAATAAAATTTAAAAATGGAGTCCTTGCCCTGGCCGGTTTTCTCAGTGGATAGAGCATACCCTTGGGAACCAAAGGGCCTCAGGTTTGATTCTGGTCAAGGGCATGTACTTGGTTGCAGGCCCTTCCATGCCCTTGCCCTGGTCAGAGCTTGTACAGGAGGCAACCAATTGATGTGTTTCTCTCACATCAATGTTTCTCTCTTCTCCTACCTCCCTTCCACTGTCTCTCTGAAAAGCAATGGAAAAATATCCTTGGGTGAGGATAAAAAAAGATAAAAGAAGGAATATGTTGGTTCTTGGAAGCAAAGTTCTGGGTAGAGAGTTGAGGCACCACGTCTTCCTTGGGGGCAGGTGAGCACCTCCCTTCTCAGAGGAGAGCAGCCATCTGTGTCCATCCTCCACAGCCCCAGGTGAGGACAGACAGACACAGGAATCTGGGACTGTGGTCACTGTTCCTCTGGGAAGGCAGACCCCATCACTTGGAAAGTGCAGTCACGCTGGGGAGGGGGTGGGGCATGGGCAGGTCAAACACCACGATGCCTTACTTCTCTCTACCTTTTCAATTTTATCCTTATTTTAAAATATATTTTGATTGATTTCACAGAGGAAAGGATGGGGGAGAGAGATAGAAACCTCAGTGATGAGAGAGAATCATCGATCGGTTGCCTCCCTGCATGCACCCCACTGGGAGTCCAGGCAGTGGCCCAGGCAAGCACCCTGATCAGGATTCCAACCCTTTACAAACTTGGTTCATAGGTGGAAGCTCAACCAACGAGCAACACCTGGCAGTATCTGGGGAGACCTCTTACCATTTCTTTCTTTCTATTTTTTTTTAAAGATTTCTTTATTCAGTTAGTTTTGTTCATCCTCATCCCAGGATATTTCCCACTTATTATTAGAGAAAGTGGAAGGGAGGGGGAGAGGGAGAGAGCCCATAGAGACACATTGAGTAGTTGCCTCTTGCAGGCAGGGATGGAGATTCCAATGGAGGTCCGTGCTCTTGACAGGAATCAAACCCGAGACCTGTGAGTCCCCAGGCTGACGCTCTATCCACGGAGCCACACGGTGGGACCCCTCCCCCATGTCTAGTTAACACTGTGGAGGCCCCGCACCGCATGCAGGCAGCCAGCATCCTGCCGGGTGGACCCACAGACCTGGGGGTGTCTGTGTTGCCGGAACGAGGGGAACTAGGATGGAGAGGCCCCCAGAAGGGCAGCCCCAGGTGCCAGGACACAGCGGGGCACGGGGAGCTGGGCTGGAACCTCTCTCCAGAGACTTCAAGACGAAGAACCACCCAGACCCCCTCTCCTGCAGGCGGATGCTGGGCCTCGCTGTGGGGACCCGCCTGAGCCAGCTGGTCAGGACCCGTGAGGCTGAGGGAAACACAAACCTAAATGAGGAAAAAGTCCGTGTTCCCAGGTGCCAGGAGGAGACAGGGACTCCCTCCCCCCCTCCCTGCAACACGCATGGAGGTTTCAGTGTCAGTTTAAAAGCTCACTGAGGCCTCCCCAGCTTACACCCCAGCGTGTTTTCTGGGGACCTTAGAACCCACTCTGAAGTGTGACCACTAGGGGGCACCCTCTCCCCACTTCTGTGGGAG